TGGCTAAACCCGATTCTAGCTTTCCTCTGCTTCCTCCTGGTAATTCTACCTCCTGGTCTTCCCATCACGACATAGAAGTCCATCCCAAAAATACCAATCGTCGGGTCGTATCTCGCACCAAGATCGATGTGTTCTTGGATACCGAACCCGAAGTTTCCGGTGTCTGAGAAGTTTTTGCGTTTCAACTCGTATTCCTTGACCTTCAAGCCTCTCTCGAGGATTTCCTCCGCCTTAGGGCCACGGATCGTGACATGCACGGCAATCTTCTCGTTTCTTCGAATACCGAAATGGCGAACGGTATAACGAGCTTTGGACGTAACAGGAGTCTGACCAGTGAGTTGTTCCAGCACCTTGGATGCTCTTGTTAAACGATCTCCTGATTCTCCGACCGAAATGTCTGGGGCAAGGAGTCATTAGCTTCTACTCAAATTTTCCATGTAAAGTATGTAGAAATCAAATTATAACTCACTGATCACGAGCTTCTCAATCCTTAGCTCTTTCATTGGGTTAATTGGGGCGGATTTGGAGTCAGCCTGTGATGAATACAAGTCATGTAAGTGATTGCTTTCCAATGGGAGTCGGCCAAGGTTCATTCAGAAAGAATAAAAGTCCAGTCATGACGGATTATTTCCTTGGAGGTCGGGAATCCTTGGAAGATAGCTCACCATTTTGAGTCAAAGATGATGGCCAAGGTCTGTTTAAGCTGGGTCGATATAGGCCAAACAAAGTCAAACACCCGTCCTTCGATCCTACATAACCAGCTACAGAGGATGCATGTAAATTACGTAAATTTTGGATTCATGTCTTTTAACTACATAGAATAGACGATGCTTAGAGAAGACTGCTCGTGATGGGGTGACCTCAGATTTCACCTTCCTCAGGCGAGTCGGCTCGACCTTTAGAGGATTCATTGCCATTCCCATTCTGTTATTTATGTTAGAATAATTAATCAGCCAAATTTAAGGCACTTACGGTGACTTTCTCGCCATCTTTCATCTCTACGTCCTCGTCCTTCTTTCGGGTCTTATCACGCTCCCTGTCATCGTCTCGTCGATTGCCTCTTCGCTCTCTGTCTCGGTCATCTCGCCGTCTTCCATGATCTCTATCTCGATGTCGGCTACTATACTTGTCGTCGCCACGCTCTCTCTCTCTCGATCTATCTCTTTCCTTCTCCCTCTCGTGTTCTCGTGTTCTCGTTCCGTAGGGTTCCTTGCGCTTCCGACTTGTCGTCGAATCGTCGTCGGAATATGTCTCCCTCATCCTCTCTTTTTGCCTTTTTACAAATTTAGTGAATGCAGCTTTTCTTGCTGCATCGTCATTATCCATAGCTTTGAACTCGGGAAGGTCCTGGATAATTGGAACGGCCTAAAATTATTATTGAGATAAGGCCTCTAGTGTTGAATAGTATGACGATTACCTCTTCGTAAGGTGCCTCGATATCGATTTTATGTGCCTTGCGCTTTAGCGCATGCCGTAGATCGTCCTGCATCCTCCGCATTTGCTTTTCGGTCTTTCTCCTATGATGAGCCGCTTGTTCACGGAACTATTGAAATGAATATTAGTGGCAGAGATCGTACCCTGTGATGTATGCCTACATGACGGAAGAGGCCAGGAGCTTCTGACTCCATATCTTTCCAGATGTGCTCATCTTCTTGTAACAATGCCGTGAATTCCTCGGGGGTAGTCTGCTCAGTAAATTGGAAGGACTTTTTGGAGAGGTACCTCTCAACGTCTTTGACTTTGCCTTCTAAGGCAAGGTCCAACTGATCAACCGCATCCCAAAACAACTCTAGAGGATTGGAACCTGGGACTCCCAAAAGAGTCAGGTACCTCTCGTCACTTGCCACTAGAGGGTATATCTCTTTCCATTTGGTGCCCGACAGGAGCTTACCACTGGCTTTAAGTTCATCCAACAAAGCCTATTTTGCTGTCAGTAAGCATTTCGATCAAAAGCTGAACATAACCAACCCTAAAGCCTTCGCGAGCAAGGCGATACTTCTGCATCCGCGACATTTCTGCTATTTTCATGGCAGATTCGTATTCACCAGTTCTGATTTTACTATAGTCTTCAAAGGCCAGAAGAATGTCAAGGTAAGGTAATTGAGACAACTCTTCATCTTCCTTCCAGAGTTTCGACTCTATTACCATAGCAATGGCATCCCTCCACCTAGTCAGACCATCCACTTCACACATTTTGAAGATGCTGACGACCTTTTCCATATTTCTTCCTCTCAGATCTCGAAGGCGCGCCTGTTCATACTATTGGTGAGGACATATCTTATTAACAAGAAATGCATCACCTGTTCACGTTGCTGCAATTCGGCAATGTATTCACGGAATAATTGTCGCCGT